TTGCAACCTATTTTTACCTCCATCCTCACATGAACAGCCAAAAGCATTTTCCCTTCTCCCACTCTGGGCTGGAAGTTGCTTAGCTCCTGTTGCCAAGTTCAAACAGTTGGGTACCAACTGAGCTTTTTTTTCGGGTGGCCTTTAAATCCATCTTGATCCTTTTTCTATAGTCCTCCCATCTTTTTTCAGCATTTCCCCCTTTTACTCTTCATCACATCCAGGCAGATGCTGCTTAGTTTCTCCGATTGGTCTAGGATGGATTTCTTTCAGGACTTTTAAGATGACTTCTAGATGACTAGTCTGGAATTGCAACATACATGCCCATCCGAATTAACCAGAGCTACCCCTGCTAGCTTTTGAGAGCAGCCGAGATAAGCTCAGTGATTTCTTTAAAAAATAAACAGGGTCTAGCACAGGGTGTTAAACTCGAGGCCTGGGGGGAGGGGAGGATCTGGCCCATGGGGCTGCCAGCGAAATAGGGCTCCCGAGCTCCATTTTTGTATTTGTATTTATTTTGTATTTATTAGTTTGTCAAACATGTACAAGATAGCAGGTTTAAATATAAACATGGACATGAACAAAAGAAATAAATACAAGTAAATGGCGACAGTAAGACAGGGACAGAAGGCACGCTGGTACGCTTATGCGCACCCCCTTTACGGACCTCTTAGGAATGGGGTGAGGTCCACACTAGATAGTTTAAGGTTGAAGCTGTGAGGGTTTGAAGATGTAACAATGGAGTCAGGTAGAACATTCCAGGCATTGACCACTCTGTTGCTGAAGTCACATTTTCTGCAATCGAGTTTGGAGCGGTTTACCTTGAGTTTGTATCTATTGTATGCTCGTGTGTTGTTGTGATTGAAGCTGAAGAGGTTGTTGACAGGTAGGACATTGTAGCAGACAATTTTGCATACCGTGCTTAGATCATACCGCAGGCGGCACAGCTCCAGATTGCCCAAGTCCAAAATTTCGAGCCTGGTGGCCTAGGGAATTCTACTGTGAGTAGAGGAGTGGAGTGGAAGGCCTCCTAAGGTCTGTTTTAGCTGGCAGAGGGTTGCAGGAGGCCATTGCAGCCAAAAACAGAGCTCAGGAGCTCGTTTTTGCTGGCAAAGCGCTCGGCCCACCACAGATGCCCCTGACACCAGTGACGTTGAGCTGGCCACGCCCACCCCAGCCTGCCGAGGTCAAACACAACTCTGATGTGGCCGTCAATGAAATCAAGTTTGACACCTCTAGTCTAGCAAAAGCATCTATGGCATCCCAATTCAAGGAATGCCAACTGATTAAAAAAATGTTCCCATATCTGTCAGTTTAAGGGAAGAGCATTTACCTCTACCATGAGTCCATACATGCTGTCAAACAGCTTTTTGTCTTGGGTCCTTGCTGCAGTCTGTAGTGTGGCAGGGCGAAGTGCCCAGGCATGGGGAGAGGCTGGGTTTCTGCAAAGGGCATGGATTTATTTATTTTATAGGGAAGGTAGAGAACTCGGAACAAGGCCAAAAGCAAGTAAATAGCAGAAGACAATGCTAGAATGCACCCATAAAGCGGCATGTCCAGGATATAAAATATAAAGAGAGAAAGGAAAAGCAATGCATGGGGCAGGGGTCATACTTTATCTCTGTACTTGAATTCCTGTCCTAACTGAGAACAGGTTTGACTAATGGTGAAGGCATCAAGGTAGAACAGGGAGACTGGGAGTTCTAGTATTGCCGTGGGTACAACCCTAACCCTTCTCATTAGGTGGCCAAAGTATTTGAGTTTCATCTTCAGGATCTGGCCTTCTAAAGAGCAGTCAGGATTGATGACCTCTAGGACTGACCAATTTGATTGCCTTGCAGTCCAAGGGACTCGCAGGAGTCTTCTCCAGCACCCAGAGTTCAAAGGCCTCAGCCTTCCTTATGAGCCAACCTTCACAGCCATGTATTGCAATTGGGAAAACCAGAGCCTTGGCTATAGGCACTTTTGTTGGCAGGGCCCCTTAGTTGCTTCTTTTTAAGAGACAGCCAGTTTAGTGTAGGGATTTAGGCCTAGAAACCAGATTGTGAGTTCTAGTCCCACCTTTGGTGTGAATCGTGGCTGAGTGGCATTGGGCCAGTCCTTCTCTCAGCCCAACCTGTCTCACAGGGTTGTTATTATGGGGAAAAAGAAGTCAACGTACGACCACAATTGAGCCCAACATTTATGTTATGTGAGGAATTTGTTGAGTGAATCTTGCCCCATTTTACGACTTTTCCTACCACATTTGTTAAGTGAATCTGGTTTCTCGTATTGACTTTTGCTTGTCAGAAAGTTGCAAAAGAGGATCACACGTGACTCCAGGACACGGCAATTGTCATAAATGTGAATCAGTTGTCCAACATCCAAATGTAAATTACGTGACCACAGGGAGGCTGCAAGGGTCATTTGAAAAATGGCCATTAAGTAACTTTTTTCAGTGCCATTGTAACTTCGGCCACTATGTTGTGGCCCGCCAGTGGCCAGGAGAGCTGGCAGCAGATTCGGACAGTCAGGAACATGGGCCAGTCCTGGAGTCTGGGGAAGTCTCAGACGAGGGCTTGTGTGTCGGAGGCAGAGAGGGGGCCAGAGCCATCTGACAGTTATCAGCTGCCTTCAGAGTCAGACATCAGTGAGGCAGACGAACAGCTGGAGCCTGTTCCCAGTGTGCGCATGCTCAGAGTTGCCAGGGAACAGCTAAAGAACAGGGGTTGACTTGGGATTAAAGTCACAGGTGGACGATGAATGGCCCCTCCCAGATGTAATAAAAGAGGGGCAAAGGGGGAGTGGAGTTTGCAGGAGACAATTACTTCGCTTAATT